TTTGTATTTCGATAACGATATTTTTCAAAGGGGTGTAAATCCTATGCCTCACTATTACTAAAGTTGTGAGATGTGTTTTCTAGAGCTCTACATTAGTAGAGTATTTATTTAATATTAATTAGAAAGAGGAAAAAATTGTGTTTTAGGATTTTTTTACGTATTAAAATTACTCAAAAACTGCTGAACAGAATTCAAAAATTATTGTACCATTGAAAGTAAAATGCAGTTTTTTTTTTTACGTGGGCGAAGTCGCAAGCAACAGCTACTTTTTTAGTAATCTAGAGTTTGGTGTCGCGTCAAGGTATTTGCGAACAGCTTATAACACTTTTCACATTTTTTGTAGCTCGTCTGTATTGCTGCTTTACAATGCTGAACTAAACACTGATAGTACTAATATACTCAGCGGTTACTTTTCCAAACTGTCCAGATTTTAACATTGTTATACATCTAAGTCTCACATATACAAATAATACCTATATTGCAGTTCCATTGTGACTGATAACATAAATGGTTACACCGGATAGGAATATTTATAGAGTTCCTGACTTAGTGTGGTGGTGAGATTAGCCGTGATTTGGCCTCCCGCAGTAAAACTAAGAGGGATATGTTCCGTGGCGCAGAGCCACAATAAAACAAAACGGTGTTCCAATACTTTAAACAGTAACGTCGAAGAAATATTGAAAATGAGATCACAGCTTCTACGAGAAACGAAAGATTACTATTAATGTCTGCGCAACCATGATCAATAACAAAAACCATGCATTTTAAAAACAATACTTTTTTCTACACTTTTTCAATGTCAACGATTAAAATGTTAGCACGTTGTATTTTATAAGTGTGACATTGACTTACAGATTACTTTTTTTTCATTAATTTTAGGGACCGCCGAATTTGCATAATGAAGTTAGAGTGTTATATGTAACATCGAAAAAAAATGAGGTGATTTGCGTTTCTAATTACGATAATCGCATTTAATAATCTGTCTGTCTGTCTGTCAGCAATCCGCGTTTGGTCCGGGTTATGTCCGAAACGGCTGGACTGATTTTGACATGACTTTCACTAAGGATAGCATTCGAATTGACGTTAGACCTACTACCATCCCGTTAAAATCCAGTCAGATTTTGACGGGACTTTAACTGGATGTTCAGCTTACATGTGCGCGGGAAATTTTAAACAACCTTATTTTTTTATTCTGAGCTGTCAAAACTGGGGCCGGTCTTTATCTCGGGTAATAGACCGATTCTGACGCGATTTTGACTGAGAGGTAACTAAGGTAGATTTTGAATGGAGATATACGAGCGCATGTTATAGTCGCCCTTTTTTTAATTCCGAACTAATGAAGTTTGTGGGCGACAGATCGTAATAAATGAAGACTCGTTAAGTTTTGTAAAAGAAGGAAATGAAGAAGTGTAATTGAATATAATACAGAGTGTTTCGAAAGTACCGAATATCTCACTTCATGTTTTACATGCCGTTAGTTTACATATCGATAATAGTAGGATGTATTGGGAACTAAAGAGACCATGTCTGTTTTTAGAAAAACAAAAAAAAGATAATCTTATTCTTAATGAATCGCATGTCGGTTCGGCTAAAGCTATATACATTCCTATATCTTCGACTATTGCTACGTTTGCGTAATTTAAACCCTTCAATATATGCTACTTACTAAATTGAATGTCAAAGATCACAAAAGGACCTAACACTGAATTCCGGGTACAAACTTTGTAACGAAATGGTATGTGACTTACATTAAGCAGTGCAACTTGCTACAACAAACCCATATTTAAATGAGATTCCTACAAATGTTTAAATTTTGTTTTGCAACATCCTGTATTAATATAACGCAGTTTTTACAACCGTAAAATCATTACTGCCAATCACACAAATACCCCGTAAGATTTTTAGTTCAAAGTCAAGGTATTAAAACCGTAGTTTTCCGCGCAACATCAGACGGAACACTCTGACATAATTCTAGGATACCGGATTCAAAAATGTTTAAATATCTTAAAACCACAAAAGAAGGCGTTTTATGCTTAAGGTAAGAAAAGCTTTTTGGTAATATTAAATACATAACCCATATCGAAAACTGGTACTAATCCCCTGTTCATGTGCCAGCAGTTATGATAACATAATCCATATGAAAGGGGTTTTTTCGTTCAATATCTCTATCGTAATTATTTTTTTTTATAAACAATTTTTTTGCATACAGATTTCAGTTGCATGATTTTAATATCGTTTATCCATAACGATCAAAGGCCTGCCCCTTTTATACCTTGCATTTACAGTGTTTAATTTCTGGCGTCCGTGTTGTACCCATTGTGTTATACCCAGTTTTTGTTTTAAACCGTTTTAGGTTTTATTTATTCGTCTGTTTTAATTTTAACACTGATGTAATATTATTTTATTTGTGTTTTTATGCATTTTATTTTTAAGGCAAATAACAACAGCGATCAATATAGATGTGACCGCATCTCCAACGAAGTCATTCAATGATGTCCCTGGTCCAACCGCGTTACCTGGTATCGGACAGTTGTATCATTTCCTACCAGGAGGTAAAGTATTCATTATAATCGTGTTTTACTATTGTGGGCCCGGGAGTAAACATCGGTCCGACATCATTAATAGCAGCAACACTAAATCCAAATGTTATACTTCTGATATGAATGGTCTTTTTTTTATCACCTTGATCGATAAAAGATAAACAGGCAATGGATGAGTGATGATTACTAAAGGTTCAGTGAAATGCATTCTCGTTTGCTACCGACTTCTTCAAAAACTGTGAAGTTATAAAAATTCTGCTACATTATCCGCAATAGACAGTTGTATAGTCAGAGACATGTAACACGTTGTATATTATGATTCTTTGCAACGCCCTAGTAAATGAAAATTGTAGAAAATATATCAAATACGAATAACATTGCAGGTTCACTTTACAATCTAAGAGGTTATGACTTACAAAATTTTCTTTATAAAAAGTATGGACCTGTTGTTGGAATGAAAGGACATTTTGGTGCAAAAGACTCCATTTTACTATTCGATCCCGAAGTCGCAATACAGGTAAATATAAATATTGTTAGTCCCAATATTTGGAATACTTAGCACTGTTGTTATTGTGGCTAAGTAAACTAATTTCTAAGAATTCAGTAAAATTTCCTAAATCCTAATACACAGTTATAACTGAAGAGTCGAACTGTTCAATTGTATATCACGTTTTTTGTTTAACACATTGGTTATTCATATTGGACGTATCATCGTGTCTCAAATTTCTGGCACTGGGCCGGCGTGGTTGATCATAGCCTGGTCACCCCTATCATGGGTATCCACATCTAAGATGTATGAGCTCATGATAAATCTCTTATTTTATTGAAAAGGCGTAACTTAAGAGTAATGGATTTTTTTAGATATATCGATCAGAAAATGCATCGCCTATAAGAATGGGATTTTTCGCTGCGCAATATTACAAAAATGTAATTAAAAAGGAGAAGGGTGAAATAGAGAGAAAATACAACGGGCTTATTTTCGAGTGAGTACTTACTGCATTTGAAAAATGTTAAATTATAAATATGGTCTTACTGAAGAAAACAATAAAGTAGCAAAATTTCAATAAATGTGTAGTGGTAGGAGTATTTAATTGCCAGATTTTTAAACGTCCGATAGACAATAGTCAAACGAGTTAGACACGTGACATTAAAACTAATTGAATTATATTCTTAGTCGAAACAGATCTGTAAAAAAGAAAAACTGTACTAACGTAATTATTAAGACTGACGCCCCAGATTCTTTAGTGTAGGTGTTGTGAAAACTGGAACGTGGAATCTAAGTACATTTAAAAAACTAAAAATCATGAGGAATGAGTTATCAACTGTCCACCTAATAGAATTTTGACTTAGCTTACAATACCCTACTTTAGCTATTGTAATAATCTATCTTTAATATTGATTATAAACACGGCTAAACTCACATGAAAAATTCGGTATAGGCACGGACAGTTTGGAACCCTTTGGAGGTCCTGATACCGAATTTTTAACTAACTAACCGAATTTTTAATTATTTATCTTTAATAATTTAAAATGTTTAGTCACGAGGACAAGTGGAGGGAAATGAGAACGACAATCAATCCAATTATGATGCAAGCAAAGTCATTAAAGATGTACTCGGAAGCACTGGACGAGATAGCAATGGAAGCTATTGCAAGGTAACGTAACACTGTAATTTCTAAAGCTTACAAAATTAGAGATTCTAATGCCCGGTTGCTGAAGTTTTGATTTATTTTGTCGTTACCTAGGGATCCATTAGTGACAACTATGAGTTTAACTCTAACAGAGTTTCTGTGTATCAAAGGAACCGTTTAATAGTTTTGAACCGATAAATAGTTCCGCCATCCACCGATAGATGACTCTTTTATTAATAAGCATTTACAATTTTATAACTTACAAATTAATTTATAAAGATGTAAACATCACAAATATTTGCATTTATTATACTTAGCATATACAGGATGATATTTAACATACGGATCGAAGGCTTTGGTGCGTTAGTGGACCTCAATAGCTATCGTTAAGCGCAAAGTATGTTGCTCGATTGTGTGTAGTCATAGTTGTATAATTATTCAAAAAAAAATCGTAAAAATCAGATTTCCGACTAAAATTTGCCTGTACGTCCAAAATAATGTGTTTACAGTGGTCATCTAATTCTTGAACAACTCTAAAAATTGGGCTTTAAAGGTTTAAAGTATTGTCATTCGATAACGCAAAAAGTTTTTTGGGCAATGTCATATTAACTGATTTATGGACGGTTTCCCATGTCCTTTAAACTATTCGATAATGCTCATGGTTCCATAAATTAATAAAATGAGGTTTCGAACTACGTAACTTGAGTTTCACTCCTTTAAGCAACGCCGCAAGTCTCCATCATACAGCTACCGAACTCCTTTTGCGTCTTACAGTCGTGAAGCGTCTGCACTGACAATGGAAATG